GATAGTCTCGCTCTGTCGCCCAGGGTGGAGTGCAGTGGTGTGATCTTGGCTCACTGCAACCTTCACCTCCCGGGTTCACACGATTCTCCTGCCTCAGCCTCCCGAGTAGCTGGGATTACAAGTGCCACGTCACCACACCTGGCTAATTTTTTGTATTTTTAGTAGAGACAGGATTTCACTATTTGGCCAGGCTGGTCTCAAAAGCCTGACCTCGTGATCCGCCCGCCTCAGCCTCCCCAAGTGCTGGGATTATAGGCATGAGCCACCACACCTGGCCCCAAACCTGCACTTCTTTTAGCGGTATCTGTCTCCTCCTTCAAACCCTCCTGGAAAGCAAGGGCAAGGCGAGCCCAGAGGGAGCAGTGTATGGCATCCTGGGCCCTGGAAGGCTGTGGCCAGATGGGGAGGCAAGCTCTGGGTGTGAGGCTGTTCTGGCTTCAGGCAGATTCTCCTTTTAGGTCAGTGAATGGGGATTTCTGAGCCTCTCAGGTGCATTGGGACCAATGGGACAGAAGGGTGGGGACTGGGGACTTGGCATCTTGAAGAGGGAAGAATGACTACGATCACTTACGTTCAGTAAAGGGAACGGTGACCTGCAAGACAACAGAAAGGACAGAGATGTTGGAATGAGAGAGTCACCGCTGAAAAAGGCCAGAAGGATTAGATGAGTCCCAGCCAGCCCTCATTTCGCATTCTTCACTGTGTGGCATATCATCAGTGAGCCCGCAGATCCCCAGTCCAGGTCTCCAGCCGGGTCTCCAACTGCTATAGACAGACATTTCAGTGGATGTCCCAGTGGCCATCTTGCACTCAATTATGACAGGTTAAAGTCACCACTCTGCTCTCCAAATGGACTCCCACCTCCAACCTCTCTGCCTCTGTTGGTGATTCCACCAGAGCTGCCCCGAGGGATTTTGCAAGTTGTTTATTACTCAAAGGGCAAGTGGGGCCGGAACCCAACTGCACTCTGCTCACAAAGCTGTGCACCCTGACGTGTTCACTGGGTAAAAGGGGTACCTTTATCTCTTCACCCACAGATACCACCTCCCCACCACTGCTCCTAGAGAGCTGCACCCACCCGGTAGCGTGGCCCTCAATCCACTCCTGCTCTGCGGACTAGCAGTGTGGCATCGCCTGGCAGGACCATTAGAAAGATGGCATCTCAGCCCCCCACAGGCCTAATGAGTCAGAGTTTGCATTTTAACAAGGTCTCAGTTGAGTAAGTTGCACATTAGAGTTTGACAGGACCACGGGACATTCCCCCAGCTGCCCAGAATTTAAACTCCTCTAATTCTTCCTTGGCTACACCAGTCTTCTGTTCCCCACACCAGTGAAGACTCGTCACCTCTCAAGCTGCACTGGTGCAATGCTTTCCTAACTAACCTTCCCAGTTGTGTCTCTGAGTCCCCTTCCTACCACCAGCTGTTAAGCCTTTCTTCATACTCCTGGGTCCCTCTGTGACTGTCATGCACCACATTGCCTGCAGGATACATTCATCTGACCATAAACTTTTAGAGACAGGTTCAAAGGCATCGCCATCCCCCACTTTCCTGCATGCTCGCCCTATTTATCTTTCCCCCCTCACCTCCCTTTCTTCCGCTTACATGATCCACTGCCCATCATGCAGCCCACTGTTCTTTCTTTTTGGAGATGGAGTCTCACTCTGTCCCCCAGTCTGGAGTGCAGTGGCGCAGTCTCAGCTCACTGCAATCTCCACCTTCTGTGTTCAAGTGATTCTCATGCCTCAGCCTCCCCAGTAGCTGGGACTACACACGTGCGCCACCACACTGGGTTAATTTTTGTGTTTTTAGTAAAGATGGGGCTTCACATGTTGCCCAGGCCGGTCTTGAACTCCTGACCACCTGCTGAGGTGGGTGATCCACCTTCCTTGGCCTCTCAAAGTACTGGGATTACAAGTGTGAGCTACAGTCCCGCAGATCTTAAGCAGCTCATTGCCCAGTGATGAAAAGACACAGGCATACCTTAGGATATGGTGTGAGACTTGCAGCCACAGAGGCACAGACCAGAGCTGCGGAACAGAGTGGGGCAGCTAATGACTGGGGGAGGTGCTCCACTGCATGTTGTATTGAGCTGAATCCTAAAAGCTGAATGAAAGCTTATCAGGTAGAAAAGGTGGGGTGGGCAGACTGAGCAGTCCCAGGAACTGCGAGGGCTCTGGCCAGGCTGGGACAGGCCAGGGCATGGAGAGGTTACAAGCCAGGCAATGAGTCCGGATTACCTCGCTTGGAGGCCGTGGGGGTCCCCCAGGGGCTTTCAACAGGGGAGTGTGTGGTCTTCCTTCTTCCATCTGTTTAAATCCTGCCAATCCTTCAAGGTTCTGAGAAGCCTCCCCTGACTGCCCCAGCCCTGACGCGCCCTCATTTCTGGACTCCTACTGCAATGCCCTTCACGGTTTGCTCTTCAAATCCTGCTTGGTGGGATGAGAGTCAACTTTCCATGTGGGAACATCTTGACTCCTCCACTGTAAGCCCTCTGAGATCAGGGGTTATGTCTTACACGGGCTCCTATCCCCTGCAGCATTATACATCATGCCTGGCGCATGGCCGGTACTTAAAAGCTCACTGTTTAGCTTGTCACAGCCCTGGCAGTTATGACTCTAACGGACCACCAGGGGGCAGCAAGCTGCACCTCTCAGCTCAATCCCATCTGCAGACTTGAGCCTGGCTGTTCAGATCACTTTCACTTTGCCCAGGTACATGGTGGGCCATGCTTCAGGCATTTTTGGGGGGCATCTGGAAGGTAGGGGGAAGATGAATCTCAGCCTGGGGAGGGCTTGGACGCTTTCACTACAGCACCACTTCATACCCCCACTGCTTCTGGACAGAGAGGTGCAGGCGTGACCTGAAGCTGGGGAGGCAGCAGTGCTCCCCTCTACAGAGAGGCTTGGACTAGTGTTCCAGGATGTGCCCAGCCTGTTTTAGGAGACAGGGAATTATGGAGAAGCTGTATAAGAGCCGTGCCCTCCCCCTCCCTGCCCCGTGCTGGGCTCCCCTCTTTCAGAACCACACAGGCTGCACACAGCAATGGCCAGGACGTCGGGGGCACAGCAGTGTGGGCAGAGCCGGGGTTCTCAAGGCCCAGGTTCGAGGAGCACTTATGCCACTGAGCAGCTACCCCATATTGGAAAATGACCTCCTTTCTCACTTGTAAAGCAAAGATGAACAGAACACTCGGCTCTCATTCCTGTCACGCCTCCCTCACCAGTAGGATCGTGACGAATCACAACCAAGGATCATCTCTTCCTCTGAGTTCTCAAGTGTGACTGGGAGGAACGAGGGGGATGGGTGTGAGGGCTCTTCGTAAGCTAGAAAAGACCCCACAGGCTGTTTGTGGGAAAAGGAAGGCCTAGACATGCTGTGGCTGTTTAGATATGGCCTTAAAATCATAAGCCAGGAAGGGACATGTGAAGGGTGTGAGATGAACGAATCAGCTCTCAACCTGTGTACTAACGGCAAATAAAAGTTTTTTTGAGACAGGGTCTTGCTCTGTCACCCAGGCTGGAGTGCAGTGCTGTGACCTCGGCTCACTGCGGCCTTAACCTCCGGGGCTCAAGCAGTTCTCCCACCTCAGCCTCCCAAGTAGCTGGGAAACATAGGCACGAGCTAGCATGCCCGGCTAATTTCTGTACTAATGGTACAGTTTGGCATTTCAATTCCTACATTCAGTGACTATTATTTCTGGAGGGTTCGTCACCTCTTTGCAACAAGCTGCAAATGCTGACAGTAACTTCTTACACCCGGACAGCAGCCTACGGTTTGCAAACTGCTCCATTAACGCTTATGGAGCCCTAATGGTGAGCGGGCTCTGAGATGGCCCAAGTGGTCCCTGCCTCCTGGTAGTCACGCCCTTATGTACTCCCCTCCCCGAGAGTGGGTGTGGCCTGGGACTTGCTTCTAACCAATAGGAAACAGCATGGGTAATGGGATGTCACTTCTGTGAATAGGTTATATAAGATTCGGACTTTTCTCTTGCCAGCCATTCTCTCTGATGGCTTTGATATTGAAAGCTGCCCCCCTGCGGAGACCCATGTGTCCAGAAACCTAGGGTCGCCTCTGGCCAATTCCTGGCTAGGGACTGAGGCCCTCAACCCAGCCTCCCAAAAGGAACTGAACAATCACACAGATGAGAGTGGAAGTGGATCCTTCTGCACTTGACCTTGGAGATGAATTTATAACTCAGCTGAGATCCTGAGGCTGTGGGCCAATCAGCCACATCTAGACTCCTGAGCCACAGAAACGCAGAATCATTGTGTGTTGTTCTAAGCTATTGAGTTTCTGGTAGTTTGTGATGCAGCAAAAGATAATGACTACACATTGAATCTAACAGAAGCCCCAGCAGTTCTGGAGGGGCAGCCAGCCTGTCAAGTCATTTGCCTAAAGTCACAGGATAGCAAGTGTCTGAGTCAGGACCCACGGCCCAGTGCTGTGGCGTTTCCATCACACCGCCTCCGGAGGTGTCCTGAGGACAGGGGAAAGAGGCCCCTGTGTTCCCACCCTGGTCTCAGCAGGTCTGGGGCAGAATGATTCAGTGGTGGCCAAATCAGAGAATGTGGGTAGCCAAAGCGGACAAGCCTGCTGTCCTCTAAAGAATCCTGAGGGCCTTCCCTCTGTGACCAGGACTTTCTGAAGCTCCTTCCCCACTGGTGGCCCAGACTCCCTCTCCCGGGGGAAAAGGGAGTGGCCCGTGCCTTACACTTACGTGAAACAGCTGGCGCAGTGGTGGCTCAGTCACGCGGGCTGCGCCTGAGCAGACTGCAGTTGGGAGTGCCTCATGGCCAAGGGCATCAGTCCCTGCCAGAGAAGAGAGGGGAAGACCTGTGAGAGCGGGACAGGGAGGCTGAGGACAGACAGACAGACCAGCAGGCGGGGCAGCTGCAGCCCCACAGCTCTAGGGTGGAAGTCTCCCCAGGGCTTTGCTCCTCGAGGTCAACCTCCCAAGCTCCTTGGGTTCCTAAGAACCTGAGCACAGACCTGTGAGGTGGCAGCGACCCCAGCTTTGTCTCCTTCCCTCTGTGCTGCTGCTGAAACCCTGTGCCCAGGGCAGCAGCGGGATGCTGGGCACGTGTCTGGGAGGCGAGCTGAGTGGGCATGGCGCCGGGCAGGCTTTCTCCCACTCCACTGGAGGACTCGGATCTATGCCCTAGTGGATACATCCCTGTGGCCGGACGACTGAGCCTGCTGTCAGCCTCCCTCTTCCCCAGCCCCTCCCCACCGTTCCCTGGGCCCGTCTTCCCTAGTGCCTGCGCCACACGCTCCCCTCCCCTGCTCCAATATCCTGACTTCCAACGACGTCTGTCAGGCCAAAGACAGCGACTGGACAGCCAGATGAGCAAGTTCAGGCTGCTGTGCTGATGGAGGAGGGGCGGCAGGGTCCTCCCAAGTCATCCAGGAATCCACGGTAGGCTAACATTTGGGGGTCTCTTTACATTCTTTTATTTATTCATTTAACCAGTCAATCTAACCCAGGACAGTGCTGATCTTTTTTTTTTTTTTTTTTTTTTTTTTTGAGGGGGTTTTTTTTTTTTTTTTTTTCTTTTTTTTGAGACAGAGTCTTGCTCTGTTGCCCAGGCCAATCTCAGCTCACTGCAACCTCGGCCTCCTGGGTTCAAGCAATTCTCCTGCCTCAGGCTCTCAGGTAGCTGGGATTACAGGTGCCTGCTACCACGCCTGGCTATTTTGTGTTTTTACTAGAGATGGGGTTTGGCCATGTTGGTCAGGCTGGTCTCAAACGCTTGACCTCAGGTGATCCACCTGCCTTGGCCTCCCAAAGTGCTGGGATTATGGACACAAGCCACTGCACCTAGCCAGGACAGTGCTGATCTTTAATTAACCACTCAACATTCTTTGGAAAAGTTTGGACCCTACACTGAGAGAAGAGGGAGAGGAATGCCCTGTGGGGGTGATACCCAGCCCTGCTGAGTGCTCCTGAGGAGGAGAGGCCTCTCTGGGTGGTGGATGTTTTCATCAGGGAGGAAATCCAGCCATTAACCCCAGCCGCAGAGCCACCTTCCAAGAGGACAGGGCTAACCGCCTCCAGGTTCTCACCCTCGGCCAGAAGCTGGAGATCAAAGGACGGACCTTAGCATGATGCTGTCTGAGTCTAGCAGCTCTCAGGGGCAGAACCCCGGGGAAAGCTGAGAAGGAGGCAGAGTGACAGCGTGACAGAATAGCCCTGTCCCCGCATCGCCTCCCTTCTAGATCTGGGCCTTACTACACTCTCCCAGCTCCTGCTTGGACATTCTGGGCACCTGAGGCTGTCTTTTCTCCAAGATGTTCTCACTCACATCAAACCGTGGTGTTGAGTTTCATGTGACTGGGTATTACGGCGGGGCGCTTCCTGCACGACTTCTGACATGGCAGAGGATAGAAATCAGACGGCGGAAGTGAGTCTGGGACAGGGCCCTCGTTCCCTGGCTGTACAGACCGTACAACGGGAATGCAAGAATATCTGTCTCGGGATCCGTGGATGCTTTCACCCACTTTACACAATACGGATAGGACAATAACTTGGTGAAGGTTTCGTGAGATTTCCATGGTGAGAGGTATTGCTGAGCTATGTATCCCAGGGGAGGAGGGCTCTGGGGCTGCCTGTCTTGAGTCAATATTGTCTAAGTGTCAACAGTGAGAAGGCCTCAACTGAAGAGGCTGCAGGTGGCCTCCACATGCCCAGAGGCTGGGCAAGGGGTTGCAGGAGACTCCCGGATCAGAGCTGCAGTGCTCATGTGGGTGAGCGGAACTGCAGGAGAGAGGGGCCCAGCCCAGCAGGGAACCCAGGAGAGCCCCTAAAAACAATCCCAAAAGCCGGAGCCAGTTTTCAGTTTCTCCAAGCTCTCTAACCAGTAGGAACCCCTAATTTCAATCCAGGCAAGTGGTAAAACAGCGGCTCACTTGTGTGGTGGGAAGAGAGAAAGAGGAGGGATTGTGGGGCCCACCTCAGGTGCTTCCAGCTTGAGCGGAACGAAACTGGAAGAAAGGAGAAAAATAATGCAGTCAGAATGGAGGCCAGAGTGTTTCACTACTCATGATTGTTACGATTATTATATATATATATATATATATATTATTATTATTATTATTTTTTTTTTTTTTTTTGGGACGGAGTTTCGCTCTTGTTACCCAGGCTGGAGTGCAACGGCGCGATCTCGGCTCACCGCAACCTCCGCCTCCTGGGTTCAGGCAATTCTCCTGCCTCAGCCTCCTGAGTAGCTGGGATTACAGGCACGCGCCACCATGCCCAGCTAATTTTTTGTATTTTTAGTAGAGATGGGGTTTCACAGTGTTGACCAGGATGGTCTCGATCTCTTGACCTCGTGATCTACCTGCCTCGGCCTCCCAAAGTGCTGGGATTACAGGCTTGAGCCACCGCGCCCGGCCCTTATATATATATATTTTGAGACGGGGCTTTGCTCTGTTGTCCAGGCTGGAGTAGAGTGGCTCAATCTCGGCTCACTGCAACCTCAGCCCACCGGTTCAAGCAACGCTTCTGCCTCAGCCTCCCAAGTAGCTGGGAGTATAGGCACCCCCCGCTAGTTCTTACATTTTTGGTAGAAACAGGGTTTCGCCATGTTGGCCAGGCTGGTCTTGAACTCCTGACCTCAGGTGATCCACCCACCTCGGCCAGCCTATTAAGCATTCTAATGCCTGAGTGGACTGTATCTATGACTTACAGTAACTATAAGGCTGTCACCAAACAAAGCAATGGGATCGGCACAAGTTTTTTTCTAGGGACAGGGGAAGATTTCTCCCACTGAACACATTTTAAAATAATGGGACATTTGAAGAAAAAAAATTAAAGTTGCTTTGTGAGCATAAATCATGCGACGTGCTTAACATATCCGTTACTTATAGAAAAAAATGATCCATGGAAATGTGAGGGCTCCAGTATCTTTTTAAAAAACTTTTATTTTAGGTTTGGGGGTAAAAGTACGGTTTGTCACATAGGTAAACTCGTGTCACAGGGGTTTGTTGTCCAGATTATTCCTCACCCAGGTATTAAGCCTAGTATCCAATACTTTTTTTTCTGCCCCTTCCCCCTCTCACCCTCCAGCCTCAAGTAGGCCCCAGTATGTATTGTTCCCTCTTTGTGTTGATGAGTTCTCATCATTTCACTCCCACTTGTAAGTGAGAACATGTGGTCTTTGGCCTTCTGTTCCTGTGTTAGTTTGCTAAGAATAATGGCCGCCAGTTCCATCCATGTTTCCGCAAAAGACATAATCTTGTTCTTGTTTATGGCCGCATCATATTCCGTGGTGTCTATGTACCACATTTTCTTTATCCAGTCTGTCACTGATGGGCATGTAGGTTGATTCCTTGTCTTTGCTAAGGTGAATAGTGCTGCAGTGAACATTTGTGCATGTGTCTTTACGATAGAATGATTTACAGTATTTTTATTTTCCAGGTGATGAAACCAAGTTCAGACAAGACAAGTGACTTGTAGAACACGCAAGCAATGTGGAGGTGGCACTGTAGAGGTCCCAGGCCAGGGCCCTCCACGTGATGTTGTCTCTCCTTCCAGAAGATCTGTACTTACTTCATCAGGAGTGGGATGTCCGCTGAAGCAGGGTTTCTCAAACTGGCTTGAAGGTAACAATTTCCTAAGCCACGTATTAAAAAATGGAGACTTCCAGAGTTACTAAAGCAGCATCCACAGGGTGGGGCCCAGGAATCTGTATTCTTAGCAGGTTTGAGTCTTACCATCTGGCTTTCTGGAAAATGATGCAAGAAGAAACTTCTTTGGGAGGATTTCCGTCTGGAGGCAACAGGGGAGGGGAGTGATCTTGCAGAGGCTGTGGCCTCATCTGGTGCCCATGACAAGAGTGGCTCTGGGTTCTGTGCCTGGAGGCAAGCAGGCCAGAGGGCAGGAGGAGGGGGAAGTCTAAGAAGAGCCAAAGCCACGTGGTGTGAGCCTGGGTGGGATGGAGCCAGTAAAGCTGTCAGAATGAGGGTCCTGAAAGGCCATTTGTCTAGTAGAGACTGGAGTTGGACACTAAAAGCCACCGGGATAGAACGTGCCGGGAAATGGATCTCTCACTTCCCCATGAGGCCAGGGGTCTCTGCTCTATCTGAAAGGCCCCCTGTTCTCAGTGACTTCAGCCTCACTGAAGCAGGGTCCCCTCGCCTCACTGTCTGGATGAATGCAGGCAGGAAACGCCAGCTGCGGCTGGCACCAGCACATGTAATTAACCATCGACTGCCCCCTGCTCCTTGCTCGACCCCCTTAGGAGCACAAGTTAATTGAGTGGGACCTAAGCACCGACTGATCTCAATTTCTCTGATGCAATTAAGCCTTCTCCAATCATTTATTAGCTCATGAAATTGACACAGCAGGTTAGCAGTCCCAGAGAAGAGGTAGTTTTTTTCCTTGTTACCTGGATTGCAATCCTTGGACAAGGCTGATAGAAGGAAATGGGGAAGGGGTTCCCTTTATCTTGATTGTACATATGCCCATGACAAAGTCCTGACCCCCAGGATGAGTGTTTGAAGAGCTGGCGACCACATGGGTGCCCTCACCGTACACAGGCTGCTACGGCAGCAGAGTGCACTGTTTGTGAAGAGGCTTCTCTAGGAGATATGAGACTCCTGCAAATCTTCAAGAAAAGATCCCGAAGAATCCCAGTGTAACAGTAGGCAATGGACAGGTGGTTTATGAAAGGGGCAACCCTAGAGGCTCACAAGAAAATGAAGAGATGCACAAACTCATCAGGAATTCAAGAAATACAAGCTGAAGCCGCAGTGAGCTATCACTGTTTACCTTAGGGTTGGCAAAAGTCAGGAGCAGAGTAATGCTGAGC